TTCTCTTCTCCTGCCCCTCAGTGATATATCACAGCTTCTATAGCAGGCACCCCAACCTGTAGCCCTCCAGATGTTTTGGCCTACAACTCCCATGATTCCTAGCTAACAGGACCAGTGCTCAGGGATGATGGGAATTGTAGTCCAAAGCATCTGGAGGGCCAAAGGTTGGGGATGCCTGTTCTGCAGCCTACATATAGTAAGGGTATTTAAAATGAGACGTCATAGCGTCCTCTTTTTTGTACTTCAAAATACGTCAACCCTATGTCTGTTTCATTTTTCACAATTTTAACTGTTATAACATAAATTTCCAGGAGAAATTTAGACCAGTTTCTGAAGTGGTCTAAATTTCTTCCTTATTCGGGCTGTATTAGGGAACCAAAATGGCTTTGGATACTTCAGATTCTTGTTCTCCCCCAACAATACTCCCACAAGCTTAACAAGCTGGGTTTTTTTGTCCCCACTGATATCAGAGTTTTGTTATTGGTTGGGCCAGGGCATTCAGATATCTCCTCAAAGAAAAATAATTGCAGGCTGCCATTGTCTTCTAGAAATGCAAGGGAAATAGGGACTTTCTTCCATCTACAGTGGATCTATCTAACACACGCGCGCGCACACACACAACCACAATTGCCTGTCTTTCATCAGCACCACCAGTTTATGCACCATCTGGGCAGAAAATAGCTCTCTGGAAGAAGCCATGGTTGAGAATTGAAAAGTGGCAGGAAAATTCTCCCATCTTTTTGCAGAGGTCCTATTCTCTTCGAACGGATGTGCTGGACAGATGTAAAGTGAATTGTGCTCTGTTTTGGATTCCTTAGGCTTGGGATTTTGGTTCCAGTGTTATTGAGGCTTCCATTCTTGTTGATTTTGGGTTCTCAGAAGGTGCCCACTATTTTATTTTATTTTAATGCTGCTTTGGTTTTTGTTTCATTTTTCCTTAAAAGCAGCTTCTCAGCTTCTCGTGGTTTTATGAGCATCGCTCCATGCTAATTAAGCGGCTATTTTCAACCGGCCCTGCACCATGGCTGCGACCAATATTGCCTGAAGAACACTTACCACTGGGTATCATTGCCGATGCTGTCTGCGACCATCCACTCCAGAAGCCATCAAAGCTGACTCCGTTTGGCTTGGCCCGCACAGCCAACGTGTAGCGGGTTCCTCCTTTGAGATTCCGAAGGTAATATGTCTGCCCATTGGAAATCTCCACCTGGAGGCAGAGGGGGGAAAGCAGAGGTCAGAGGGAGTGGAGGAGGGAGTTTCGAAAGCCAGGTAACTGTGACCGGAATTTTGAGGTCTTAGATATATATTAAATGTTCATAAGTGTACCAACCAAGCACGTACATAGATCAGCACAGGAAGACCGACCTGAAGCCATTTTTTATTCCCAAACTTACCAAATGTTTTCTCTGCAAGGTCAAAGGAAAATGGAAAAGTCTCCCCATTGTCTTTTCCTTCACAAATCATGTCTTAAGGGCACATTTAAGATAAAATAGGGTGTGAGCCTGTGACCTGGCTCAGGAACTAAGTATTTATCATTACAAAAGACTGGCCAGGCTCCTCAGGGTATCCAATCAAGTAAGCATTAACAAATAACCTGGCAGACAGGAGATAAACAACGCGCTCAGATTTCTGTTGTAGACCGCCTTTTCTGTGATGTAGGCATGATGTTTGTGGGGGTGGTGGTCTTGGGTTACAACCCTTCTGTGATGTATGTATGATGTTTCTGGGGGTGGTCTTGGACTCCAGGGAGGGAATTTAAAATGTCTATATAAGGGCAGGCACACTTTTGCTCTGGGTTCCTCCTCCCTCCTGCGTGTGGTTGAGTGAGGACCCTGTTGCAACAGATCAATAAAGATCAGGCTTACTAGCTGCTTTGCTTCTCAATATTCTCTGGTTGGCCTCTGTTATTTTCTCCTACCAATAGGGAACCTACGTAAGGACTCTACATGGGGTCTTGGAAACCCCATAAGGGAAAAAAGGCAGATTTTTGTTTACAACATAACAAAGGACAAAAGCGACTTACCCGCTGGACTATGCTACCCTTATGGAAGATGGCCATCTCATAGCGGATGCTATTGTCCATGTATTGAATGGGGGGCTGCCAGCTCACATTCAGCTGTCCCGGAGGCCCCAACAGCTGACTGCCAGGTTTATAGGGTGGGGTCCAGGAAAACTGGTAAGGGATTAAGGAGCAAGTGTGAGAACTAGCAGTTGGCGACAGAATTAGACGTCTTTCTTTTCGTTTTTACATGTTGCAGGAATTTGTATAGGTTGGGTGGGGTTGCCCCTCCCAGGCAGATATCATGCACATGCACCCCACTACCAAAATCAGCACAATCGCTTTTTGTGACTTTTGTGATTGTCGTCCCCACAAACATTTGCATCACAGTTTTCTTCTTATCTATCAAAGGGCCTTCTTTGCTAGCACAATACCAAATGTAAACAATTCATCTGAATAAATTACTTATGTACTGCCTCCCTGGGAAAACTTCAGAAAATTCATATAGACATGGTGAGCTCAGCTACTCAGCAGCCCCCTCTGCCTGAGTGATAATTCCTGGCATCCTGATACCTGAGTGCCAGACAGTGGCCATTCCAGAAATAACAAACCCGGATTGAAGACAAAAGGGTGTGATTAACTTGGCTGGGAACAGGGAAATGTAAATATCTCTTTTGTTACACCTTGATGGGTGTTTGGTGGAGGGCAAGGAGAACAGTGGGCAGGGTCCAGGATGCTCAGATTTCCTGCCACCAGACCTCCCTTTCATGATGTAACCATGATGTATTAGTGATGTAGTTTGGGGGGGGGTGTAACAGGGGATTAGCAGCTAATAAAAGTTTGGGTTCTCTTTTTGTTTGGGGCTTCCATCTCGTTTCACCTGGTGGCAGGTGGGAGTCCTGTCGCGACAGTCTTCAATAAAGACCAAGCCTACTGGGCTTGGCCAAGCCTACATCAACTGCTCCCTTTCCTATCTAGTGCAAATTCACGTTATCTTGCCTCCTCCAGTTGACTGCACAGGTAGCTCTCTGTTCCTCCCCCCCCAAAAAAAATATCCCCAAGTAGTTTATTGGTCACAAAGAGTGCGGCTGATCTACTGGCGGGCACTACAGGCTACGTTTATTTGGGGAGTGAGCTTAGGGTTGCCATATTTTGATAGCAAAAAGAGCACACTATGACCAACTCTCATTTTTAAATACCCCTACTGTATGTAGGCTGTAGAAGCTGTGATCTATCTCTATGGGGGGTGGGGGTGGGGTGGGCAGGGAGAAGAGAAGCAAGTCTTCAACCACCAGTTATGTCTATGTCTCATCCAGAAAGTATAGCCAGAGACATTTTGGCCAATTTTTTTAAAAAATCCACCTGGGCAGAAATTTTACCCCTGAAAAAGAGGACGTGTCCTGGAAAAAGAGGACACATGGCAACCCTAAGTAAGCTCCACTGAACTCAGTGTGATCTTGTGAGCAAATGTGCACAAGCACATTTAAAAGAAAAGCAGCTCTAAGCGCCCTTAAGCCCCAGAAAAAAGCACTGACCACTACTACTCACTCTAAAGCAATGTTTCTGTGACTTTAAACAGTTGTAAAACATACAGTATAGGAACTGAACAGGTTTAAGAATGGAGATCAGAAAGCTTCACCTCTCCAGTTTCTGCCTCTATTGTAGTACAGTGGTACCTCGGGTTAAGAACTTAATTCATTCTGGAGGTTCGTTCTTAGCCTGAAAACTGTTCTTAACCTGAGGTACCACTTTAGCTAATGGGGCCTCCTGCTGCTGCCACACGATTTCCGTTCTCATCCTGAAGCAAAGTTCTTAACCTGAGGTACTATTTCTGGGTTAGCGGAGTCTGTAACCAGGAGCGTCTATAACCTGAGGTACCACTGTAAAGGTATAGATAAGGTAGCCTTCACCAACTTGGTACCCAGCAGATGTTGTTATAATACAACTCTCATCACCCTTGACCTTTGGCCAAGCAGGCTGGGGCTGATGGGGCTTGTAGTCCAAAACATTACTAGTCCTCCCCACACAAACACAAGTCTTCCTTAGACTCAGGTAGTCTGGAACCTGGATTATACTAGTGGGGTGGAAGTGCTGCGGTTTGTTGAGCATTTTGAGAAATGAAGCTCTGTGGGACATCTCCCTGCCACTCTAAGCACCCTTAGCATACTATAGTTCCCAGGATTCTTTGAGGGAAGTGTGGTGTGGGTTAGGGTGTCTCTGAGGCACATTCTGAACTTGTTTTCTTTTCCGCACCAGAACTGAGCTCACCCTTCTTTTGCACAAAAGTCTATTCCTCTTGCGCTTTCTTCATTTTGATGGCCTAATTCAGGTGAAAAGGGGTCGTTTTGCTGTTGCGATCGTTAATCCACTGGGAGCCAGAAACCTTTGCTGACCAGAGTTTCAAATAACCCAGAGTTCTACCGTTTTGCAGATAATGCCATGGATGCAGATTTGATCCCCGTAAGGGACCGCTGCATATTTCTACATTGCAAGGGGTTTAACTACTAGACGATCCTCAGGGTCTATGAGTCTATGATCCTGATCTACATTCTTCTTGCTCCCAGATTCCTACCCACCCATCCACTCTAGGAAGACCTGCAGGCAGATGCAGGTCATTTCTTGCAAGGCCCACCCCCCCCCCTCGTATTGGGAACTTACGTAGTTTTTCCACGAAGATCGTTCTGTTGTACAGAGTGCTCTTGGGGGAGCGCCCATCAAAGACCTTGATCTCAAGAGGGGAAAAGGCTGAAACATCTTGCCTCGGAAAGAAGCAAGTGTATCGCGTTGTATTCCGGGGTGTGTACTCCACAGTCAAGTTACACAATTTCAAAGAGTCGTCGTCCCTGAATGAAAGCAGGCGGGAAATACTGTATTATTATTTAAAGTTTGGGAAGCAGCTTCTGTTGCAAGTATTGTGCCCAGTAGGGTTGAAGGAAGAAGATGGGAATTTAGGGGGGGGGCTCTTGAGGTCAAGGCCAACGTCCCTTGGGGCAGTTTTGACCTGTAAAGCTCATTATCAACGCTAGTCAGAGTAGGACTAAATTTTACATACTCAACTGTAGTGTATTGGCCCTTCTGGCCTGCCATACAAGTCAGCTCTCAGAGTTCCTGCTCTACATTTGAAGAAGCAGCCTGGTGTGGAACTGGCTTTCTTCTCCATAAAGCACTTGCATTAAAGTTGTTTTGGTTCATCCCACCTTTGAATGGCCTCCTCATCACGTTACCTTTGAGGCATACAATTTCTTCGTGAAGTAGAGAGACGATGTGTCTCTCGCAAATCAATATGTGAACGTCAACCTTCCTCGTTTCAGAAGCTCCTATTTCTGTGCCCTGTCTTCTCTGCCCATTCTCTCTCCTCCACCACCTCAGCCTCCTCTTTCTACTTCCCATGTTTCCAAAGGAGCCCACTCAAGATAACTACATGCAGGATAGCTACACTCACAGAGCAATCTTAGGCGTGTTTATCATAGAATCGTAGAACTGAAAGGCTGGAAGGGACCCCGAGTCCAAACCCCTGAAATGCAGGAATCTCAACTGAAGCATCCGTAACAGGTGGCCCTCCAACCATTGCTTAAAAACCTCCAAGGAATGAAAGTCCACCAGCTTCCAAGATAGTCCATTCCACTGTTAAACAGCACTTACTGTCAGAATCTTTTAGTACATTTCAAGATCTATTGTTGTGAGAATAAAAATCAGTTTTCTAACCTCTGGGTGTCTGAGGAATGTGAGGGTAAAATACAAGCTCCTGGGACTTTTGGGACACAGAAACCTATTTGACTAACACTACAGGTACGACCCTCATTCTGACCCAACTCTTTCCTATTTTGGCACTTCTGTATATATTTTACACAGACGCAATCTACTAACACCACTTTGATGCATCTCCCAGGAGTCCTTCAAAACAGAAGAGAGATGTGGGAGGGAAGAATTTGGGAGTAACGCATCCTAGATTTAGGAAAGGTCAGCGATGTTGCAAAAAGAAAACCTGTATTGTGTACAGATGCATCAAAATACAAAGAAGCGTTCAAAAATAAGTGGAAGCTATGTATTGGGTTTTGGAATAGTAATAATAATGGAAAACCAGACCAGGTTTTCAGCTTGTTGATATAAGTATAGCTTCCCTTGGCATCTTGTTCGCACTGAAACTGTAATATTAGCTTCTCGTTTTTTTATGTATTTGCATAATAATTAATAAGGATAAATTTTAATAAGATAAAATACGTTAAGCCTGAAAGTCCCTCACATGTATAGTTAATTCTGCATACTCTCATATGGAACTATTTGTTACTAATGATTATGTTGGACCGGAATGGCAGCCCTCATGGAGGGAATATAATGGAAGGTGGTGAACTCTCCTTCCTTGGAGGTTTTTAAGCAGAGGTTGGTTGGATGGCTGTTTGTCATGGATGCTTTAGCTGAGATTCCTGCATTGCAGGGGGTTGGACTAGATGACCCTGTGGTCCCTTCCAACTCTCTATGATTCTATGTATGCTGCTGCCTTGAGTGCCTAAGAGGTAAGCCACTATATAAATATAACACATACAATGAAAACGATGCAGAAAGTCTTAGGTGAAACCCCCATAACATCCTCAGGCTCTTAGAGGATCTGTAGACTAGATCAAGCTGAGCCTCTGAGACTGGCTGGCTCTGGTGCAGCTTCTACACACACTTACTCATATTTGTATCCAAAGCTGTACACGCTCTGGTTGTTTTGCTCCATCGGGGGTACAAATGTCTCCCAGAAGCAGGCCAGGTCTTCCAGCTGTTGGGTGAAACACTTGAGGTCCGAACGGTCCTCCGTCAACAGATACGCAGCTAGGTGCAAAGCAGACATACAGGCATAACGTTACCAAATACCCTCTGACATTTCTCCGAAGAAAATAAAGTACGTAAAGGTAAAGGTACCCCTGCCCGTACGGGCCAGTCTTGACAGACTCTGGGGTTGTGCGCCCATCTCACTCAAGAGGCCGGGGGCCAGCGCTGTCCAGAGGCACTTCCGGGTCACGGCGAGCCAGCGCAGCACACGGAACGCCGTTTACCTTCCCGCCAGAGCGGTCCCTATTTATCTACTTGCACCCGAGGGTGCTTTCGAACTGCTAGGTTGGCAGGCGCTGGGACCGAGCAGCGGGAGCGCACCCCGCCGCGGGGATTCGAACCGCAGACCTTTCGATCGGCAAGTCCTAGGCACTGAGGCTTTTACCCACAGCGCCACCCACGTCCCGAAGAAAATAGGGACGTCCTATTCAACAACAACAACAACAATGTCCCATACATCTGACTGGGTTGCCCCAGCTACTCTGGGTGTCTTCCAACATATATAAAAACATAATAAAACATTAAACATTTAAAAAAACAAAAACAAAAACCTTCCCTATGCAGGGCCACCTTCAGATGTCTTCTAAGGTTGTATAGTTCCTTATCCCCTTGGGTCAGGGGTCACATAACTCCAAAAACTCTAAGATTTCTCTGATGGAAAAAGGGACGTCCTAAGGAAAGGTGGGACATTCCAGGATCAAATCAGAAACCGGGACGGCTTCTGTAAATCCGGGACTGTCCCTGGAAAATGGGGACACTCGGAGGGTCTGTTACCCATAGGAATGGAAAGGCAGGGGCTCCCTGCCCCCCCCCCCCGCCCAACACCATCACCCGTCTCATTCTTGCCCAGGGAAGCTGTGCGTTCAGAACCAAAAATTAGGGTCATGCTGAAATTTCTGGGGTGAAATCTCTGGGGCTTTTCTCCAGCCGCTTATGGACTGTTGGGAGAATTTCAATAGTCCCCCATTGAAGCAGCCTTCCAAATTTCATTTGCATGTTCAGACTCTGAAACCTCCCCCCTAAATAAATTCACACATGACTCAAAATTTTGGTTTGGTTTTTGGCAGAATTTAGGCCACAACTTTATTGATTACAGAAAGTGACTGGTTGCATAGGTTCTGGTTCAACTAGCTTCCTGCCATGCAGGTAGCGCTGACCCAGGGTTCCAGCATAGGCCAGCCAAGGGTGAACACCTGGAAAAGCGGAAAGAAGGGAACGGGCTAACTCCGCCACCCAAATGTCCCCCTGGACTCAGGCACAGGCACAACTCCCTCTCAGGGGTTCAACAAACCATCGAGTCCCTGGACTCCTTTAACAGAATACCCTTCACATAGGGATGGCGAGAGCGTTCTCCCATCCCTATCACATGAACCAGAGCCTATCCACAACCTTACAAGTTGTGACGATTTGCTACGTGGCAGGTGAAACCCAAATGGCAACAGCCAATCAGCCAAGTGGGGAAAATTCCTGCCATGCCCATGTCCCAACGACAGACGACACACGACAGCATAGCTAAACATCACCTGGGGCTCACAGAAATGAGGTTCCATTTAGTGACAGCCACATGCTGCTCATAATAGAACATTTGAACTTTAGGAAGCTGAATTCTGGTCCCAGCAACCTTCTGCATTTTCTGCACAGAAATCCCGTTTTTACGGTAATTCCTTTCTTAATCTTGCACAGCCGTTTCATGCTGTCTTTATTACATGCCACATTCCGTACCCTTTTTGCAGAGAAAGGGGCTTACAAATGCATGAAATACAGTAATAGCAGCAGCAAAGGAACAGCACTCTGTGCATGCTCAAAGATATTCTCGTTTTTATTCTTCTTCCTTTAAATGCCTTCGGATAGGGTTCTGGTAATGAAAGCAACTTCATTACCGCCATAGAATCCAGATTTTGTTGGATTATTGTTGTTGTTGTTGTTTTAAGGGAAACAGTACAAACTGTCATATGCAAAGTCACATGATCGGCAGCTATGTATTTTATGACCCAGCTCTCTTCCTTACGTTACGCACACAAACACAGAAGTCTTACAGCCACCTCCATCTGGCATCTGTTTCCCCGAGATAAGAGCTGGCTGCACACCCTCAGTCCCAGTAGAGTCTAGGCCGCGGGAGAAAGTACAGGAAAGAGGAGGGGGCAGCCATTTGTTTCTCCCACCCACCCACTTTTTATATGGGTCTGCCAGGAATCCTTAGCCTCACCCATTGGGGTCAGACCAATGGTTTTTAGTTAGCCACATGGAGACAAGGGCTGGGCTGGGCGTCATGGTGTGTGTGTGATTCAAGGTGAGCAACGGAAACAGAGTTAATACAATTCCTTAATTCTCCTGTTCCTCCATCCCCAGTTTTCCGCACTACAGAAACAGCATCCCTTGGGAAACTGTCAACAACAGAGAACAGCAGTTGTTAAGTTGTTGTCTAGGTTTGCACTTCTTTTGTTATCGAAATGGAGACTGCAGGAATAAGAGGACAAAAGCAAATGAAATCTGCTTCTGCTGAAACTACAAGATGTGGGATGGCTGCTTGCTTATCCCAAGAATGCAGAGATTGATGTGCCCCTGAATGTGGAAAATGCACAAAGCTGCAAAAACAGAATAGGTTTAGCCCAGATCAAAATAAACCGTATTAGCTGAAGAGATGGTGTAAAAGCCCAGGCAAGCAAATGCCCTTTGCACTCATACGCTTCCCTTGTTGAAAAGTTGCATTCAAAAATGGAGGCAACAGGTAAATTTCCTTTTGTTGGATTTGGGCATAGGATTGGAAATTGTCTTAAGCGGAAGGACTGGCCCCCCGACCCCCGGTTCATGACTTGATTCTTCTGCACTTGACAATTTGCAGCTCAAAACTGAACAGGGGTCTAGGGTAGAATAAAAGCTTCCTTAATTTGACACAAGTCAAATAAGAACCATTAAAAAGCCTCATTTTCATATGGTGAGTTCTCACTAGATGCTGCAGTCATAAAATAATGAGCAAGCGTTAAATTGACCTTAAGTAAACTGAACGAACTATATCGGACTCCCCTAGGCAAACAAGCCACGCACAGGCAGACTTGTTAAATCACATGTGTTTTATAGTCTACAGAGCAGCTATTCATTACCAAGTATCTTAATATTTAGGCAGGTAATATTTAAACTAAGTAGGAACACACACATTATGGATGTGGAATTCCACCAGAAAATAATAATAATAATAACAGGGTCAAAGTAGTTTCTTGCTCACATATTACAATCTTCCCAATGGAAGCAAATCTGCATTTCACATTTTATTTTTCTACGTTTCCCATTTGGGTAGGTGGGTCTGCAACTTTCCAAGAGAGCATCTGCCACCATCGTAAATCCCACACATCTAACTACTGGGTTTACAAATCTAATGACTACATGGGTGAAGTCAGGAAACAACATTGTATTTCCTCACCCTGTAAGCTTTAACTACTGGACTTCAGCTGTCTGAGGGGAACAGGGATGTCAAAATTGCCACATTGGAAATTGTGCACTCTGAAATTTTGCATCTGCTTTGTTAATACACCCTCAGGTCTACTTGCGAGGGATGTGTGGCCAGGACTGAACAGAGGGTTGTCCACAGACATATTCTTTCCCACAGGAAAACAAACATGCTGCACAGTATATAAAGATCTGAAAGCCTGCAGCTTTAGAACCTCAAACTTTGGGGATGTCTTATTGGTGCCTTATTTCATTGACCTCTGAATCGGCCACCTCCTACCTTCAACAGAAATAGACCCAATAATTCTCACCCCCCGCTTTGTCTCAACCTGTACTCCTTCCAGATTACCCCGACACTGGTGTCCACAGTTAAAGGATGGATCCTTTTTCTTTCTTTTTAAGCTGAGAGACTTCAAATTTACAAGAAGAATCCACCAGGCCTTACAATAACCTGCTCCATGAGTTAAACCCCTCAGATCTCCTTTTTTCTTTAAAGGAGCAATGTCTGCCAAGCTGCAAAATTTCTACTTTCAACGCGGCTGAGTACAGTGTTTCATCGTACTTAAAGAGCAGGAAGAGAGAGAGAGAGAAAGTTTACATGAAAACCACGAGGAGCAGATGAAGTACAGTGGTACCTTGGGTTAAGTACTTAATTCGTTCCGGAGGTCCATTCTTAACCTGAAACTGTTCTTAACCTGAAGCACTACTTTAGCTAATGGGGCCTCCTGCTGCTACTGCGCTGCCGGAGCCCAATTTCTGTTCTTACCCTGAAGCACTATTTCTGGGTTAGCGGAATGTGTAACCTGAAGCGTATGTAACCTGAAGCGTCTGTAACCCGAGGTACCACTGTACTGGAAAGAGACTCTGTCTGACCAGTTGCATGTTGGGCACGCACAGTACATTAACAGGCAATTTCTTAGCTTCTCTTTGAGCTCTCTTCACTCCTTGACCCCCAGCTCCCCACCCTGGCAATTGCTCTCTTATCCCCTTCGACCGCCCCCCCCCCCACTTTGACAGGGCCCAGGTGGCCAGCCCTATCTTCAAAGCATGGTACCTTTGCTGTCGAAGCTGGCGCCCAGGTTCCCAAGCCCCTTGTGAGACGAGCCGGAGGCCCAGAGAACCAGGACCCAGAGGGCAGCGGCGTGTCTCCAGCCTCGCTCCATGCTTGCACGGCTGAAGGAGAGTCTCCCCGCCAAAAGTGTCCTTCCACCTGCTCTGCGAATCTGCATCTGGTTGTCAGAGCTGCTTACCCCTTGCCTTGCTCCCGGCTGGAGGCTGCAGATAAAGGGTGGGCTCTGCTGTGTGGCGGCGGCAGCAGCAGCAAAAGCAGCAACTCTGAGCTGAGGCTGGGAAGTCAGGGATCAGCCTCCCTGGCTATTTCTCCTGAAATCTTCCTTCTCTGAGGATAGACTGGCAGAATAAGGGTGTACTTCTACCGCCATTGCACAGAGGGGAACTGAAATTCTTTTTTCATATATAATTTTTATTAATTTCAACATACCAATTTTTATACATTCCACAGAACTTCACATCTTATACAATCTTTTTGGACTTCCATCAGCACCTCTGATGATCCACCATTTTTATCATTTCTTCTGCATTTCTTAAATTCCTATTGCCTTTAATTATCTTAACTCACAATCCACCTCTTTAACCATTTTTGCAATAATTCAAATAATTCACCTCACAAAACTTCGCACAAACCTACAAACGTAATCTGGTCATCACAATTACTTTTCAAATAGTCCGTAAATTTACACCAGTCTTCTGTGAATCTCTGGTCCCGCAGGTTTCGAATTCTTCTAGTTAGTTTATCCAATTCTGCATAGTCCATCAATTTCACCCTCCATTCTTCTTTTGTTGGTAATTCTTCTTGCTTCCATTTTTGTACCAATAATATTCTTGCTGCCGTCATTGCATATAAAAACAACTTACAATCTTTTCTGTTTATATCATCTCCTACAATGCCAAGTAAAAATGCTTCTGGTTTCTTAACAAATGTATATTTCAACATTTTTTTCATCTCATTATATATCATCTCCCAGAAGTTTTTCACCTTTTTACATTCCCACCACATATGATAAAATGTTCCCTCTTTTTCTTTGCATTTCCAACATTTATTGCTAACTTTATATGAGGGGAACTGAAATTCAAGGCCTAAGCGTTCTATGCTCCTTCTGGCATCTCGCCTGTCCTCAGTGCTCAGGCTAAGCCCTGGAATATTTGACGTGGTGGTAACATGCATCAGTGCCTCTGATCATGTGCAAAGGGCACCCTTGGCTAAGGCACAGTCTGACCCCGCTCCTTTGGTAATCCTCATAGAACTCTAGCCCAATGGTTGCCATTAATTTGATTTTAGAATGAATTGATTTTAGAACGCTGGGTTACTTTTATTGCTGTTAGCTGCTCTGAGCCCGGCTTCGGCTGGGGAGGACGGGATATAAATAAAATTTTAATTTTATTATTATTATTATTAAGTGTACATTGCAGGCCTGCCGGATCAGAAGGGTGACTTCCAGGTAAGCAGCCTCTCTGGGACATTAATTGAACAGAGATTTGGATGAAAAGAAGAAGTCAGGGCCAGCTGAAGACATTTTGTTGCCTGCGGTGGAGGGCAAGATGGCCCCTTTGGTCTATGTATAGGGCAGCTGAATCCTTCAGTGCCCTCCACTGCACCTGAGGGCAGAGGAAAGTGCACCCATCTCTTCCAAGACACTGTGCCAGTCCCCCAGCATCTGCCGCCTGAGACCCCTGCCTTGCCCTGCCTAAGGGCAGGGCCGGCCCTGGAAGAGGGAGGGAGAGAAAAGCTGTTTTCCAATGAACTGCAGGCAGGGTGCCCAGGTTGAGAGAAGAAAAACGACAGGGCTGGTGCATTTGCTTTGCTTTGGGTAGCACAGTTGGAAGGCCCGTGTTCGGATGGCTGTACAACAGCCATTTCTTCATCTCCTTCCTTAAGGTGTGGACATGAGAAGTATGGAGAAATGGCTGCCATACAGCCATCCATTTTTTTCTGTTAATAGCAGCTCATTTGACCATATCATTGGGCTGGAAGGAGTCCTTGGGCTTTTCTTTTCCTAATTTTTTTTATTGGCATAAAAAACAAAATTATACAGACAGCAAAACGAAGAAGCCTAAATTAACATTTCCTTTTACCGATAAGAAATAATAATAACTATTACAATAATGAAAATACTAAAAGTATATTTATGTACTTCCCCTTTTCACTTATCAAACCTTTATTAGGCATTGTGCAAATAAAACCATAAAAGGGGAGATAACATATAAAAGCCTTGAAATATATATAAAGGCAGCAGTTGGCTACATACATATATATATATATACATATAAAATCAGTGGTTTTCCTTGTTAACCTGCTCCTTGGAGGACTGCTACCAAAAACTCGGCTACCCCCGCCGTTACCCTTT